CCTTTCCTAGACAAGTGTGAGGTCGTATCTGGAAAGTGGTATGAGATTGAAGTTTATTTGTGGTCATACTAAAGAAAGGTCAATTCAAAAAGTAGAGGGTCTATCTGCCCTTTGCGGTACATCAATGGACTGGATTGGAGTTTTTTTGTTTTATACCCACCACTACACACGTCGTCACGTCGCAGGTAGTTATATTTTGGAAGTCTTATTAATTTGGTCCACATATTTTTCTCTTACATGCAAATAGACCCCACAATTGTATGGTGCATATATGTTATGACTTATGAAGGACCCAACAGGCAACAAATTAAAACATCTTTAAATATCAAAAACCACAAACAAACAGATCATTTTCAGGAAAATAATGACCACGAGATTATATTCTTATTCCACCAAATTGAATGTTTATATTCAAACATATGGCATTTAGATTCACAAAAATCTCTCAAATTTTTAGTTTCGGGTTTTCGGAGAATATAGACAGAGATTTTTATCTATATAAACATTAGTCCGCCCTAATCAACAACAACAAGATCCCAGTATAATCCCACAAGTGGGGTCTGGGGAAGGTAGTATGTACGCAGACCTTACCCCTACCCCGAGAGGTAGAGAGGCTGTTTACAGGAGACCAGTCCGCCCTAATCAGTACATGGAAAAAGAAATTTATTCATCCTTTAGTAATGAACTTTTGGGTTTTGAGTATTAATTTATATAATTAAAATAAGTGATTGTTTCATGATTGATAGAACAATCTGTCCCCTAAAATAAGTGAAGATAGAGATTTACCTTCTTATTATAATAGTCAACCATTTCACTGTGTTTAATGAATTTAATTTTAACAAAAAATCTCTATTAATTTATGTGAAATTTCAAACTAAATTTACTAGTCCAAACTTCTTCTTTTTTTAAACTGACCCATTCAGCCGTATGTGTGTCAATACGATCAGATAAACATCGAAGGTACGATTATATAGTAATTTCAATGAGATAAATATAATTTCTAGTCAACCAAATATAAAGACCAAAAAATTAGCTAAAAGGAGACAAATTAGGAATTATGCAATTCAAAACTAATAATGATAACTATGGATGAGTCGGATGGATAACTTTGTATGACATCCAAATTAATAACTATGTCATATTTCCAAATTAATTAAGGTCAGTTATATGCCTTCACATAAAGTCAAGGTGACGGCGGACCCAAGATTTGAAGGTATAAGAGGCACATAAACGAACTGCTAGTGCCCTCATCGGATTTTTGATTTTAAGGATTTCAACCAAAATATATAATTGTTCCAATATTTATGCAATATCTCTCATTTGAATTAGCAAAAGGTGATCCTAAAGCTAATTTTGAATGCAATATCGCAACTGTTATTTTAACATTATTTAATTAAAACTCATGCTAAGTATCATACTCCGGTATTAACTTATAGTAATATTGTTATTAATTTTGTTGCCAAATGAATGAAAATTATTATAAAATCTCGTTTATCAATATATTATTAAAGGTTACATACGTGATACGTCGATTAAATTATAATAGTAATATGAAACTTTTAACAGGAAATTGAAGGAGTTTACTTAAATATTATAATAGGGGAAGTGTGTCTTAACGTATTTCTTTAATACATTTTTGCGATATATTCTAGTAATATGGATCAAAGCCCAAAGGTTTATCCATGTGCAAGACATTTTTTAATAGCTAATATAGCGTATTGATACTTAATTAATTATCTTTTTTTTTTTTTTGGGAGAACATCCTATTTCAAAATTAAATATGTAAATGACATTGCGTTTAATTTATTTATGATAAATTGACAATGATTCGACCATAGTCAGCTCATGGATAAGAGGCAGCCACTTGTTATTAATGTCTAATTGAGGTGGCCAAATTATTAAACACCACATGCCATGTCATATATTCAATTATGACGTGGCACGCCATATATCCCATGTTTTCGCCGTGGGTCCCAGAGAGACCCCACTATAGTTATGGACGAAGAATTGATTGAGGGCGGAGTGTTCATAAAAATTCGAAAAATCAAACCAAATTAACCCGACTAAAAGAGCCGATACTTTTTTGTTTGATTTGATTTTGGTTTTGAAAATTAAAAATCAATCAAATTTGATTTGGTTTTAGTTTTAATAAAAAAAAATCGAACCAAACCGAATATAGGAGTAACTATTTTAAATTTAGAATTACACCTATATATATGTATACTTTTATACAAAGTTTCAAAATTTTTATAGTAAATGTTAATCGTTTGCACTTTTAGTACAGTTCTTTACCTTTACATTCTAGTTTGATTGGTAGTTTTCTTTTGTTAAGTGTAAGAATCTATTTCATGTTAAAAATAATATATTTTTAATTGAGTCCTTAAATTAGTCATTACTATTTGATTCAATTATCATCAATATATCTTGGCAAATAATAAATTTCTCAAAGGGCAATTGATTTGATAGTGTTGCATTAAAATGTGGTCGCCGAAATATGTGTTGGTAGTGTATGTCTTATATTTAAGGAAAAAAAATGACAAATAACCGAAAAACCGACATAAACCGAATCGAGAAAAACCGACTTAATTGGTTTGATTTGGTTCTAATATTTGAAAAACCGACTTACTTGATTTGAATTTTTTTTAGGAAAAAATCGATCCAAACCGAACCATGAACGCTCCTAATTGAGAAAGTGCAAATGTGCAATAGAAAAAGTTAAAAAAAGGAAAGTTCCTAACTTTTACAAATAACAAAAGCTTGATCGACGTGTCAACTTTAGCTTGATCATATGTTAAATACGTCAATTATTTATAAGGATATTCGTTCCTAAGAGTTTAGCGTATATAATATAAGTCAAAAATGTAAAAATTTCTACACTATTCACATTTACTTATTGTTAAAAAAGAAAAATCCTATGGTGGGTGGGGGATACATGATATCACAAAACAAATATGGGCGGCTCCATAAACATGGAGGCATAATGCAAAACTTTAATGAAAGACCTTATTTTTTTATTTAAAAAAATCATATATAATTTTATTTAAATTCTATTTTTTTAATGCAAAGTTATTAACAATTTTATCTAATTCATTTATTCTCTCTTAAGACATACTTTCTAATTTAGGGTTTTTATTATTTGCTAAAAATTTATCCATGGCACATTTTGGAATTATATTAAAGTTTCAACCTTTTTTTGAGTTAAGAATTATTAATCGAATTCTTTCTCAATTTATGATCTAGAAAATGATTCCCAAAAAGATTTTTTCTCTCAATTTATGCTCAACAATTTAATCTCATTTTTTTATTATGAGAATTTGTACTTTTTCAATTAAAACACCAAAATATTCTTTTAAAATTAAATTAACATATTACCTATTAGAAAAATTTGGAGCCCCAAAAATTATGGGGCCAAAGCAGCTCCGCTTTAGGGAAAATATCAAAAATAGCTATATTTACAACTGGTAATTTGAAAATAGTCACAGTTTCAAAAGTAATCAAAATTTAGCTACTTTTCATGTAAAGATAAAATCCGAACAAAATGCAGAAGCTCCACAATCCCGCATATTATGCTGAACCTTTCCGAGTACTGGAGTTCCAATATAATATGCTGGAAATTTATGCGCATGAGCTTCATAATCAAGCATATTATGCTGGAACTTTCCGTGTTTCGACATACTAAACCGTTGTTTTTTACCCTCCGTTTTTTACTCTCAAATTATCCATCCATTTTTCCTCTTTTGCTTCTTTCTACCTCTCTTTCTCCTCGAAACCCTCTGTTCCTTCTCTCTATCTTTGGGTTGTTTTTTGCGTATGTATTTGTTAGGGAATTTTGTCAGATGAATGATTTGAAAACACATGTGTTGGAGAAGGGTGTGCCATGAATAAATTACTAGAAAGCAGAAAGAGTAGAATTCATTCGAGGGATAGAAGGCGTGCCATGAATAAATTACTGGAAAGTAGAAAGAGTAGAATTCATTCGAGAGAACTCTTTGATGATCTTCAAAATGGTTCGGATGAAATTTCCGCAAGAACAAAAAATTAAAATAAAATATGATCGATTCAAGGTGAACGCAGATTAACGACGATCATAATTGATGATTGGTTTAATCCTACAATGAATAACATCGCAATGACGGCATCAACAGAAGTTCCTCCTTACACCTTTGAGGATATGCACAAGAAAAATGATATAACAATTGTGGTTAATAGTATAACTAGAAAATAATTTTGATTAGAGTACTATTAGGAATGAGCTTCCCCTTTTTAATGTTTTTTAGTCGTAAGTTGTAATTTTATATAAAAAAAAATATTCCTATAAAAGTTATTATGGTTATTTTTACGTGGGCGTTTGGACATAAGAATTGTAAAATTCCAAAAAAAGTGATTTTTTTTTCAAGTGTAAATGATATTTGAAAATTAAAGTTGTGTTTGGAAATGAATATAATTTTGGGTTGTTTTTGAAGTTTTATGAGTGATATGAGTAAAAAAATTTAAAAAATAGTTTTTTGGAGTTTTTCAAATTTTCGAATAGTTCCAAAATCCATCTTCAAGTGAAAATTTAAAATTTTATGACCAAACACTGATTTCGAAAAAAATAACTTATGTCTAAAGGGGCCCTAAAATTATCTGAAAAATTTATATATATATACACTAACCATGAACAAATAACCAACAACAACAATACAATATAATCTCACTTAGTGGGGTCTGGGGAGGACAGTGTGTATGCAGACCTTACCCCTACCCTGGGGTAGAGAGGCTGTTTCCAAATAGAAACTCGGCATCCTTCCCTCCAAGAACTTCCCACCTTGCTCATGGGGAGACGCGAACTCACAATTCCTTGGTTGAAAGTGAAGGTTGCTTACCATCATAGCAACCCGTCTTCCCGAACAAATAACCAAAAAATAAATAAATAAACTTTAACTTCTGTTCCTTTTTTTCCACTATTAAAAGACAAAACATGTGCAACTATATATACATCGTACTTCATTTGCATTTTCATTGTAAACTTCTCAACCAAACCTTATTTTTCTCTTTTTTTCTCTATCTTCTATCCTCTTGATTATATTATTCTAATCTTCCAAAATGAATGGAGATGAGACTAATAATGACCAAAAAACACCTCTTCTTCCAATTCACAGGTCACAAAGTATGAATACATTTATTCACTCTATTTTTTCACTCAAGAATTTCTTCACAATTTTGGGACCTTTATTATGTATAATTATTTGCTTATTTGTGAAAATGAATGATGCTCCGGCGACTAGCACTAATATGCTCGGAATTCTTGTTTGGATTTTCACGTGGTGGTTGTCGGAGGCGGTGCCGATGCCGATAACTTCCATGTCGCCGTTGTTTCTCTTCCCGTTGTTCGGAATTTCGTCGGCCGACGACGTTGCTCATTCTTATATGGATGATGTTATTGCTCTTGTTCTTGGGAGTTTTATACTTGCTCTTGCTGTTGAACATTATAATATACACAGAAGATTGGCCTTAAATGTGAGTAATTATATTTTTCTATTAATTCCTTGTTGAATTTTGTTGTTTTATTTGTGGGTGTCGCGAAATTGGAATATGGAAGAAATTTATCCGAATCCTATACACCAAATTATACTAATTTACCATCAAAGGATGTGGTGCAGTAGATGAGACTGCTCTTCCCTTAACCAGGGGTCTTGAGTTCGAGCCCTGAGTATGGAAAAATCTTTGGTAGTGAGCGCTTTCCCCAGAATGGGACCCTAAATCCGGATATAATCGGGCTCCAATACGGGTACCGAACACCGGGTGAGAAACCAAAAAAAATTATACTAATTTATTGTGGTTTAGTAAATAATTAAAATAAATTATATATTATAAATTAAGGTATTAATTAATAAACCTTAAAAAATATGCCACACACTTATTGTGCTTTGATATGAGCTGTACATGTTCAAGTATGTACGTATTTGCCGAAATGGAAATACATCGTTTCATCTCTATCTTTAGTTGCGTAATTATTACTCAGTCCGTTTCAATTTAAATATAACATACTTTTTATATTAGTCAATTTCAAAAAAAATGACACATTTCTATATTTAAAAATAATTTAATTTTTAAACTTTTTATTTTACTCATTTTACCCTTAATAAAAACTTTTATAGCCATACAAATATCATGATCCCAATAAACTTTTATCTCTTAAGTTTTTAGTACCACATATTTCAAAAGTTTACTTTTCAGCAATTATCTGTTGTTTTTCTCTTTTTGACATTTTACCGTTATTAATCAGTTTCAATGTCAATATCTAATTTGGCCTATTATTTTCTTTATATAAAGTTTAACTATGTACGCTACTACAAGCAGAGGCAAGTTTTAGTTGTTAAGTTCAACCTTTAGAATTTTACTATAAATATGTTATATTTTTTAAAATTATGTGTTCATAATTAAATATGTACACATAACTTTTAATATTGTCCATATAAAATACCTGAGTTTAATGAATATGGTGAATGATGACACTTTTCTAGCTAGTAGTATAGTTGAATTATTGTAGACAATTGACGTGCATGGGCCATGCAGATAACCGGCGGACTGTATTGCGAGATAATTTTATTTTATTTTATATATATTATATGTTCGATTCCTCTTAATTTTTCGGTATATCTAATTTTTTATTTGTTGACACTTTTCGGTGAAAAATTCTGGCTCCGCCACGGCAGATAACACTATTATTCTGTGGGAATCCATTGAATCCACCACTTCTTCTTCTCGGGATCTGTGCCACCACATTCTTCGTCAGCATGTGGATGCACAACGTGGCGGCAACGGTAATGATGATGCCGGTGGCCACCGGAATCTTGCAACGGTTGCCGTCGGTTAACCGGAACCAACCGGAACATTCCGATCAGCTGGTGACAAACTTCTGTAAAGCAGTTATATTAGGGGTTATATATTCTGCATCAATTGGAGGAATGAGTACATTAACTGGGACAGGTGTCAATTTGATATTGGTGGGATTGTGGAAGAGTTATTTTCCTCAAGAAAAACCTATAAGTTTCAGCACTTGGTTTTTCTTTGGTTTTCCTTTGGCTTTGGTGATTTTCTTTGCTTTGTGGGCTACACTTTGCTTATTGTATTGTAGGAAAGGATCAAGTAGATCTCTTTCTGCTTATTTGGACAAATCTCATTTGAAAAGGGAGCTTGATTTATTAGGTACTTCTTCTAAACCCTTATATTTATTTAATTTTTTTATACCCAATTTCTCTTAATTTATTTTCTTATATATTCTCAATTTTAAAATATAATTTTTTCCTTAGGGTTCGTTTGGTACGAGAGATAAGGAATAATTAACCCCGGGACTAAATTTAAGAAGAATTTATTCCATGTTTGGTTGGGAGAAAATTGCGGTATAATTAATTCAGTGATTAATTATCCTGGGATTATAGTGTTTTTTTAATCCCCATGGAAGAGTGGAATAATTAATCCCAGGATAATTAATCCTGGGATAACTTCTTTCCAACCAAACAAACCCTTAGTTCTCAATCATCCCTCAAATTATAGATGGATGCGAATCGAGGACGAGTTTTGTGGGCTGAATTGAACTTATTATTTTCAATCTTGAATAACTATGTATACATGTGTTAATTGGGCGTTTGGACATAAGAATTGTAAAATTTTAAAAAGAAGTGAAAAAAAATTTCGAAGTGAAAATGGTATTTGAAAATTAGAATGGTGTTTGGACATGAATAAAATTTTGGGTTGTTTTTGAATTTTTTGTGAGTGATTTGAGTGAAAATTTTGAAAAAAAAATAGCTTTTTGGAGTTTTTAAAATTTTCGAAANATATATATATATATATAAAGTAAAAAAAAATCACGGTCAAACGGGCTCTAAAACTATTTAAAATATATACATATAAAGGTCATATTCTTTTTAAATTTATTCTAAGTTCTGAACTCACCTCAATATTATTAACTTATATGTAACTGACACGTATAGAGATAGAATTGAGGCTTATATCTTTAATTTCAAGATTATCTTTTTCTGTACCCCAATCATTTCAATGGTCAATTTTCAGATATCTTAAAAGAATACGTCATCAACAAGTGGTCCAATTGAAATTTCATGGCTATTATAAGATTCACTTAGGCCACATATTTTTATTTTGTGTCAATAATAGATGTTGAATATTAGATTGATGTTGTCTGCAATTATTTTAGACCCCAATATTCTAATTGATTGGACCCACTTTTGTGCTGTGTAGGTCCCATGGCCTTTGCTGAAAAGATGGTTTTATCAGTATTTTCGGTGCGTTTACTACCATTTTTAATTACTCTTTAATGTAATCCACATTATTTGTGTTTAAATTTAGTGGGCGTTTGGACATAAGAATTGTAAAATTAAGTGAAAATAATATTTAAAAATTAGAGTAGTTTGGACATGAATATAATTTTAGGTTGTTTTTGAAGTTTTGTTAGTAATCTGAGTGAAGATTTTGTAAAACGGCCTTTTTGGAGTTTTTCAAATTTTCGAAAAATTTCAAAATTTATGTTCAAGTGAAAATTTAAAATTTTATGACAAAACATTGATTTCGAAAAAAAATAAAAAAAGAAAGTGAAAAAATTGTTATGTCCAAACGGGTTCTTAATTATGTAACTAATTTAATTTGATTTTGTTGTTATAGATTTTAATAGTGCTGTGGATGACAAGAAGTATTACTGATGATATTCCTGGATGGGGATCCTTCTTCAATGGGCGTGCTGGTGATGGAACTGTTAGTGTAAGCACTACACTAATTATATATACCATTAGTTTCAATTAACAAAATAAATCTATATATAAATATTTTTCATTAAGCAGAATGCATTGTTGTTCTAAAGTATTGGTTACTTAGACTAAAAATAAATTTTCTTAAAATAATTTGATGGTTTCTATATATTACATACTCCCTCAACGACAACAACAACGACGACGACTCAGTATAGTCCCATAAGTAGGGTCTGGGGAGGGTAGTGTGTATGCATATCTTACCTCTACCCTTTTGTTTTGGTCCAAAATAAATGTCTTTTTACATAATCAAGAAGGAATTAATTTTATTTTTTCAAAATTTGTCCTTATTTACATATTCCAATGTATCAAGGTAACAACTGATTAAGGGTAATTTAGTGAAAACATCTTCTTCTTCTTTTCTAGGAGTTCGTATTTTCTTAAGGAGTGTGCCAAATGCTAAAAATTCACTAATTATAGACGGGAGGGAGTAGTATTTTCTAGCCTACATGGGCCAAGCCAATGAAGAAGTTATGGGTTCATAACTTCGGCTTAGGCCATGCATATGTGTTAAAAATCCAGCTAAATGAGTGAAAATTTAGATTTTGAACCCAGTAAATTGGATTCAATGTGGTAGAATTCCGAATTTGAAACCATAAACTTCAAATCCTACATCTGCCTCTGCTTGCCTACCAAGTTACTATTACACGTCGAAAATTGACGTTCAAAATAGTTCCTAAAATGTCTGTCCGTGATGTTGATTTTCTCATTGTATAGGTCATGATGGCAACTTTATTATTCATAATTCCAAACAAGAAGCAGCCAGGAGAGAAGCTAATGGATTGGAACAAATGCAAGAAATTGCCATGGAACATAATTCTTCTACTAGGAGCAGGTTTTGCCATAGCTGATGGAATTAGGTCAAGTGGACTTGCTGATATACTAACAAAAACCCTAGATTTCTTATCAAAAACACCATACTTAGCCATTGCACCAGCAGTTTGTTTAATAAGTGCAATTCTCACTGAGTTTATCACATCAAATAATGCAACCACAACAGTTATGGTTCCTTTGCTCATTCAAATTGCTGAAACTATGCATGTTCATCCTCTTCTTCTTATGATCCCGGGCGCCATTGGCGCGCAATTCGCTTTCTTGCTCCCCACGTCAACGCCTTCCAATGTTATAGGGTTTACTACTGGCCATATTGAAGTTAAAGACATGATACAAACTGGACTCCCTTTGAAAGTCGCTGGAATTGCTGCTCTCTCTTTCTTGATGCCTACCCTAGGTAAAGTTTCCTTTATACTTTTTAGTTAATCAAAATTTGTGATTTTACTGTTACAATGAGTAACGACAAAATTACTTTAATGTGACAAAAGATATATAGTTTTGTGACGTTAATGTTATATTGTACGTGAAAATAATCGTTTTTTTTTTGTGTGTGTTTCAGCGCCTATTGTTTTTGGAACAGATAAACCTTTAAATGTATCAAGGAATTATTTGCGTTGGTGTGGCTAGTTCTTTGGATAAAGGGATACATAAGGCAAGAGGACACCAACCTTTGGCTTTGGTGATTTTAAACCAATTGAGAAACAGTTTAAGTTCTAGGTACTGGCGATGTAAAAATATTTATACAATCATATCGATATTAGGGTATTTTTCTCAGTTGGTGTTTTTCTTTTTTGGAATTTTTCATTGTATCTAGATGAATTATCCCTATAGAGGAATCATCGTGGCGCATGAGGAGGAGGAGGAGTTCTTGAATATATTATATTTTGTTATACATATTTGTTATTTTCTTTTCCTTGTTGGATTGCAGCAATGTATAGCCTTTTTTTGTTCCAAGAAATATGGAATGTAATTTTATATTTAAGGAAAATTTTGTAGTTAAAATGAGAGTCAAGATATTCGTAGGATCTTTCATGTTTAACTTGAACTTTGATTAATAATGCAAAAGAATTAACCCAAATAACCTTGCTCTTAAACTAAAATAACCAGTAATACATAATATATGTATGTATGTACGTATGTATGTATAATTAATATATAAGCTATGTATACCGATGAGAAAAAGTAAATATTGAATCTAGCAGCATACTTTAAGCTTCTAGCAACGAAGTTATTTTCAAACTTTTCTTAACATGGTCAAAATATAAATAGTCGCACTAAATAATCCTATTTGTGAAAATCTACCCCATATTATAGGGAGAAATTCAAAAGTAGCCGATTTACAACTGGTCGTTCAAAAATAGCTCAGTTTCAAAAGTAATCGAAATTTAGCCACTTTTCATGTAAAGATAAATCTGAGCGAAAATATTGTTCAAAACCCGGAAAATACGCCAGTATATTATACTGGAGTTCCAGCATAAGTATGCTTTTATGCTAGAGTTCCAGGATAAGTATGCTGGAACTCTAACATAATATGATGGAGTTCAGCATAAGTACACTAGAACTCCAGTATAATATACTGGAGTTCCAGCAAGTATAATTCTCCAGTATAATATACTAGAGTTTGGAGCACCGGTGCTCCAGTCTCCAGTATATTATACTGAGTCAGCAAAGTATACCGGTCCAGCATAATATGTTGGAGTTCATACACAGGTGCACCGAACTCCAGTATATTATGCTGGACCGGTCTCTGTTGCAACAAAATAGTGGCTATTTTTCATTGACTTCGTAAATGCTGGCTATTTTTGAATGATCAGTCCGAAAACTGGCTATACCGTGCTATTTTTACCATATTATATGCTATTATTTCTGTGAATTCCTTCACCTGCGAAGCCATGCTAATTAGAAAGTTTTCGGACCATTTGCTTACTATATATATATATATATATATATATATGAAAAACTACTACATCAAATTGAGAATCCATAATTTTATAAGTACAATGAATTCAATGTTAAGAATTTTAAAGTTAAACCAATCAACTTTAAATTGTAATTTCATCTCTATTAATATAGAGATATTATATGTAATTCACGTGCAATGTGAAAGTTAGCAGCATTATCATAAATTTTATTTTTTTGACTAGATTCAAGATATTTAGAACCGTAAATAGATGGAAGGCTGTCCAATCTACAAAATTTAAAAGACTAATATATACAAATACTAAAAGATTTTCATTAAAATAAAAGTTATACTAGATCACATTGCAATTTTGGAAATAACAAAATACCAGGGAAAAGAATTAATAGCTATTACTAGATCATATTATGATACCAGGAAAAAATTAAAATTTCTCTCTAGATGGATTACAATATTGAAAAATAACCGAATACAAGAATAACATTAAAATATATACTGTATAAGATTACAAAATATAAAATAAAAGAAAATCAATACTGGATCGGATTACAATATCTGGAAAGTATATTGAAATTGAAAAAATAAAACTTTAGAATTTTTTTTTTGCTTTTAATTCCTCTAATATAGAAAATTTATAATTTGGTCATTGTTATTTATGGTTAAGCAAATTATGAGTACATTTTTGAGTTCTTGCTTGTGGATCTTTACAAATATTACGAACTGTTAAACAATTTAATAACTGGTAAATTATGTTCTATAAATACACATTATTATTAAATTGGAGGTTAAATGTGCTTAGTATCGAACTATTAAAGGACCAAATTTGGAATATATTAATAATTAAAGGACCAAAAGTGTAATTGAAATTATGAAAATCAAACGTAACAGCAAATACAAATACTCCTTTTTCCCCTCTCTTTTCACACTCTAACAGTGTTTCTCTGCAACACTCTCTTCAGTCTTCTCCATTTCAACCAAATTAAGCTTATCTACCGATTTCTCTGGAATTTAGGTTTCAGAATTTCTTTTATTTATTTATTTATTTATTTATTTATTTATTTATGGGCTTAAACAACAACAACAACAAACGTAAGCTCAATGATTTCGCCGCCGATCAAATGGAAGTTTCAGTTCCTTCCGCCGTCAGGATGAGAAAAGACCAAAATCTCCCTCCAACACATATTCAGTTTTTTGTACGTTTGTTTCCCGGCGGCAAAACGCTGGTAATTCAAGCCGATTGTAATGACTCAGTAGAATCAGTTCACGAAAAAATCATGTTAATCACCGGAATACCGGCGGTGGAGCAGCGGTTAATCTACCGGGGAAAGCAGCTTCATCAATGGGATCAAACGTTATCGGATTGTGGTATTCAAAAGGATGCCAGCTTGGAACTTGTAGGCCGAATTCGGAGCACAGGCCATCCTCAGGCGTGGCAGCTCATGAATGACTTAATTTCACTAATCTCCGGTATTTTGAAAGGCAATTATCCTGCTGTTAATTCGAACTCGTATCATATAATAAAAATGCTTATACATTTTTTAACTATGACTCCTAAGGATAGTACTGAAAAAGCATATGAGCACATCCAAATCTTCATTTCCTCGTCTGCTCCTGCAGCTCTGGTAATGCTTTATATGTCTTCAAATTATGCTAACAAAAATAGTGCTGATGAATCCGTTCGTTCATTTATTGATTCATTTAAGAGTTTGTTGCCTGTACCTGTGTACAATGGATGTGTTCCTATAGTGTTAGAGTTTTGTAAACTTCTCAGAGGAGCTGTTGGGATTGATGATCGTTTGTATAATAAATGTCGGAGTAGTTTAGGGGCTATAGTAGAGTCCACTGGGATCGCGAGGTGCAAGGCTGAAACTAAGAAGTTGTTAGCATTGCAAGATGTTTTTCCGTTTGTTCGTGAGGTAGCAAGTAAGTTATCTTATGATTTGGAATTGACAATGGGATCAACTAAGCTTATAGGGTTATCATTTAGCATTGTGCGTGATTTTGCTGTGTTTATGCTTCCGGTGAAGAAGGTAATACGGTGGCAAGTACCATTTCGCTTTCCAATAACTTTCCCGTTGAAAGAGGATGACACCAGTGAAGGAGTGTATTACAAAGAGTATATTGAATGTTTGCATCATATTTTCTATGATTTGCTCGATAAAATGGAGATGTGTTTAAGGGAATTGGAAGACCGGTTGGGTTTGAAAGAGAATGGAAAAGGCAAACCTATTGCACCCTGGTGGTCTCAGTATCTTGTAATTCTGAAGGAGTTAAATAGTATATCAAAACTGTATAAGGGCTTGGAGAAGGTATTTTGGCAGAAGATGAGGCAAATAAAGCTTTCATTGTGCTTTTTGATAGTTTCATTTGCAAAAAAGTCTGATGATTATGGTTGGCTTCTTGAGCACAAGGAGGTAACCAATTTTGAGTTGAGGAGGCATTTGGCAATGATGATGCTTCCGGAAGTTAGAGACGAAAACGAGGCGATGCATGAGATGCTCATTGACAGGTCCCAGTTGTTGGAAGAATCATTCGAGTACATTGGACAAGCTGATTCCAAATTGCTACGAGGCGGTTTATTTATGGAATTCAAACATGAAGAAGCTACTGGTCCTGGTGTATTGAGGGAGTGGTTTTTATTGGTATGTCAAGCGATCTTCAACCCTCAAAATGCTCTCTACGTTGCTTGCCCAAATGATCGTAGAAGGTTTTTCCCAAATCCAGGTAAGCTTTTAGTGCCTTTATGTACACATTTTTTTTTTTTTGCATTTTATTCTCACTTGAACTCATAAATCTCCAGATTTTTGCTAGTATCAGTATCTAACTTTTTTTGGTATGAAACAGAGGATAATTTTGTGTGGATATGACAAGATATGTGGATATCCCTTAAGCTTGCTTGATGTAGTTGCTCGTTGCTAGTCTCATTATTCAATTTTTCCTGAAACCTGTGTCCTTGCAGCATCTCTTCTTGTTAAAATGTTTTTGTATCTTTTCTTGGATCCTACCTCTTGTTATGTTCAAATAATAGATAAGCAAATTGGAACTTGTATTCCACAAGGAAAAAGTTATGAAGGAACTGGTAGCTAAGAATTCATGTTTATCATGGTATACGACCTAATTTAAATAATAATTAGGATCTAAAAGGGTTTTTACTCCTATTTTTTTTCCTGTAAGCTTCTAATAATCCATATTGACTTCTAATTTGGTTGTGTACACTCCTCCCAATCTAACCAGTGCAAACACACTCTTGCAATCTCAGCAATCTCTAAGCTAATGTTGAAAGTACTTTTGACCCTTGAGATGTTGTAATTTTGTCTTTGGCCCCATAAAACATGAAGTCGTGCTTTAACTATCATTTGTCCAATCATTTAATGCATCACGGAAAAGTAATATTACTCTCTGTATTAGAATGTGAATACCGCTCATCTATGATTTGTGCTTGCAGCATCTAAGGTGGACCCGTTACACCTTGAGTATTTCCGCTTCTCTGGTAGGATGATTGCATTGGCTTTAATGCATAAAATTCAAGTCGGTGTTGTGCTTGGTCGTGTGTTCTTTTTGTTATTGGCTGGAAAGAATATTTCATTGGAAGACATTAGGGATGCAGATCCATACTTATACAGTAGCTGCAAGCAGATGCTGGAGATGGATCCAGAGATGGTGGATGAAGATACACTGGGCTTGACATTTGTTTGTGAATTTGAAGAGTTGGGGTCCAGGAAAGTGATTGAGCTTTGTCCCAATGGGAAAGATACTGTTGTGAACAGTAAGAATAGGATAAAGTATGTTAATCTTCTTATTCGACATCGTTTTGTCTCGTCAATTGCTGAGCAGGTAGCCCAGTTTTCTAGAGGCTTTGCTGATATAACTACCTCAAGGATCCAAAAGTCCTTTTTTCGGTGTTTAAATCTTGAAGATCTTGACTTGATGCTTGATGGGAGTGGAAGTGCTGTTTCTATTGAAGATTGGAAAGCACATACAGATTACATTGGCTACAAAGAAAGTGATCCTCAAATATCATGGTTCTGGAAGGTACATGATTCTTATCTGCAAGTCACTATGTTTTCATAATACTTGGTACTTGACAATTTTACGCTTTCATACTCTCTTTCTTCATTATTTGTAGAAGCAGTAAATTTCTGACTCAGAAACTTTTTTTTTCCTTCAAAGCTATTGCACTGGGAAGCATTTGTTTTGGGAGTTTGGGAGGTTCATATCGGGTTTTTTACTTTACCAGATTCTCTACTGGTAGCTAATGTTTTGCCGGAATAACATCTAATAATAGCAAGAACATTATAAACGGGATTTATTGTACTCATATACCTACTTTATTTGCCCATCTTCCACGACATTTCCTTAAGTGCGTCTTATGGTTTTTTTAAAAACCGCACCCAGCAATTCATATTAGTAATCCTGCGGCATACGGTTACTTTTTCTCATCTATATCACACTTTGAATACGAACTCCGATTATTCAGACTAAGATGAAACAAACAGTCCTTTTCTATTTGTCTTAGAAGCTAGAGCTTTATAAGTCAGAAAAAGAAGAAGGAAGAGTTGAATTGAGAGAATTGGCAGAAAGCAGGAGAGCAGAAAGGATGTCTTTGGTTACACAATGCTAGGATATATAGCAGGGAAAAGAATTACTTTTATGAGTGAGTCTGTTACCTTGTCGATAGGGGCAAGGATAGAGCAATATTTAGAGTACACGTTTAGGCGTGTTGCTACCCTGCCTCACACCTATGTCCGCCATTCTAGCCAAAATTGGAAATGATCCCGTGGGGTGCAGTGGTTCTATGAAGAGCATCTGGAAGGCCTAAACAGAGAATAATATGTTTTTCGTGTGCAGGAAATATCAGGGTAAGCAACTATGTAAAGGCTCTTGGTCTAGTGAGTTTGCAGCCTTTCTTTTGGTTTCCCTAGAGCCGGTTATGGATGTACATTCGTGTCATTGGTCATGCTAAAGAATTCTTGGATTGAGGCCTACTGGCTGTGTTTTATGATATTACAAATAAACAATTTAGTGTCAAAAGGTAGTCTTTGTCTGCTACTTAGTAGCTTGCTTTTATGGTTTCTTATAGTGGATAATGTAAGTTTGAGCTGCCCATGCACACCTGCTTGAGCTACTCTTTTACCATTTGACAGTCTTGTGTCTTGGTATTTGCTGTTTGTGGATGTCATGGTGCAATAAGCTACGCGAGGATCTTCCTAGTCCCTTCTCTTTCAGGCATCTGTTTTTATGCACTTCTACTGTACAAGAGAGAGATAAGTAGATTTTTTGTGTTAGGAAAGATAAGATTCTCAATGAAATAGGATTCACGGTAACACTAAATATCAAGACGCAATTCCTCTCTTTTCCTGTATACATTCCCAAGGTAGTTTGGTGGTTATTGGATATGGATCCCAGGTAATTGATTATTGCAAACTGGAATTAGTTGTCGCCACTCTGAATATTGTAAGGACAAACCTTCAAGTGTTAGGAGATGTGATTCATACCAATAACATTTGTTTCTTTCCTTCCATGCAGATAGTTGCGAGTATGTCTGCTGAGCAGAGAAAGGTGCTCCTTTTCTTTTGGACTTCAATTAAGCATCTGCCTCTAGAGGGTTTTGGTGGTTTGGCTTCTAGACTTCACATCTACAAAACCTCGGAGTCCTATGATCACTTGCCTTCTGCGAAAACATGCTTCTACCGCATATGCTTTCCTCCTTATAAATCCATGGCCATAATGCAAGATCGACTCTGCATAATCACCCAAGAGCATGTTGGTTGCAGCTTTGGTACCCGGTGACATATGCAAATTTTGAGATTGAAAGTGCACATAAGATATGTAATCAGCTTGTACATGAAGTAGGATATGCCTACCTGGTACCTATTTGAAACTTGACTTTTTTATGGTCCTCTTTTTGTTACCCCTCTCTGCATGGCTGAAGGTCGTACTTTCAACTGAATGTATCACAGACCGACGAGTCTAAGACAAGTTAGAATAGCTAATAGAACTTGGCTTACTTCTACTGAATGAAGAAAAAAGTTCCAGTCCTTCTATCTTCTCTATGCATAATCGTCTTCGTTCCTTTTTTTCTTTTTTCCCTATTAATTGTGTTTACATGGCTGAAGATTTTGTAATTTTCCAGATTCCCCCCCCCCCCCCCCCTCCTTATCAACCGTTTATAGAGGTATAGCATGGTAAGTCTTCTAATATTTTTTTCTGCGTGGTAAGTCTCACCCCTCACTCCTTTTTAATTGTTTTAAGGTGTTCGTATCTGTAAAACACATATGTATGTATTTATACAGCCTGATGTGCTTCATACTTTTTTTAACTTTTATGATGTAGATATTGAACATTTCCCTTTTTGATTCAGGCATGTAATGTAACTCTCTTAAATTCCAGAACAAAAACTACTGAGAGTTGTAAGCTTGTATTTCACTTATGCTACGTCTGAATATCATTGTATGTGATACCTCACAGCTTCAGAACTGTATTCCTTCTGAACTTCACTCGATTAATCAGCGTCTTGGTTGGAAATTTAGTGCACTAGGAAACCTTCCATTCTCATTAATTTGCGCCTTGTCATTCTGTAATTGTTGTCAACTTTTGTGTTGTGCAAATATACATTTATCATTTTTGTGTTAGAAGGGATAAGTTAGTGGGAATGAGACATCAAGCGATGTTTCGCCAATCAGGCTGAAAATGTCAAGAATTGATGTAAGGTAGGACCTTAATGTATGGCTTCTTTTGGTAGCTATCTTTATGGATCTTTAAGGAAGATTTGATTAGGATATAGAGGGATTGTCGACTCTCATTTTCATCTACAACTTGTCAAATTATTGCTTGTGGAATGCTTTACAATCACCATATTGAACCCTTCTGATCTACTTTTTCTTTTCTTTTTCCAAAGGGAAACGACGGCCTTCCTTACAAGTTCTTGCTTGATCAAAAATATGACATGCGACACCATAGCTTTGCGGACTTTATGAGATCTAACTTTCACCGCGACATTAGTGACTCAGGTCTGTGCTTTTCGCAAGCTTTTTTTATAACGAGAGAATAACGGGTACAAAAGATTGGCCTGCCCCGAAAAGCTGAGTTTTTTTCATCCCCTTGTGGTTGGCATGCAACAGCCTTCTTGGTTGTATATTAACAGTAAATGATCCAATTTTTGATGATCAGATAGCTAACATCGAGAGAATGAAAGCATTAACCCATTGATAAAAACAACCAAAAAAGATATGACCCTTTTATTATAAAAAACTAGAGATCAAATCTCATATCATCTTAATCAAACCATAGCAAACTGAACCCTGGACAAGATAACAAACATAGCTTAAAAAACTATGGAGTATCCACCCGACCACCTAGACCTAGGCATATGCTAAAAATAACACATGCCCTCACTGTAACCATAATAATATAGTAGTAATAATAGTAGTAAATAAAATACTAAGAAACAGAATAAACACAACCAGCTTTAATAAGACCCCCATCATTCATCAACCCCATCTTCACTAAAATTCCTTAGACAGTTTCCAGTAGAATTTACTCTTCAGCTTTCTCCACTGGAACTGCTTTCTCTTCAACAGATTCTGCTGCTGCTACTGGTTCCTCAGCTGCTGCATTTGTAGTTTCTTCAGCCACTGCTTCTTCAGTTACTGGAGCTGATTCCTCTGCTACAGGGACAGCTTTCTCTGTTTCTGGTTCCTCAACAGGGGCTGCTTCAAGTTCAGCCTCCGCGACTGGGGCCGCAACTGGTTCCTCAGTTGCCGCAACTGGCTCCTCTGTTTCTGTGGCTGCAGGTTCTGCTGCAGCCACGGGTTCTTCGGCAGCAGGGGCTGCTTCCTCAGCGGGAGCAGGCTCTTCTACTGGTGCTGGTGCTGGTGCTGATTCGACGACGGATTCGCTTTCTACAACTGGGGTTGGTTCCTCTACTTTGGTTTCCTCTGGGGTTGTTTGAACCTCAACCTCAGCTGGAGTAGTCTCTACTGCTGCTACTGGTGCAGATTCAACCTTCAAACAAAATTTGAAATTTCAACTCATGAGAAAAGGTCTATATAGGCGATAACAATTAGTTGGGAATATGTTATCGTCATGTTAGTATGTTTTACTTTAGTTCCTAAATATACTAGGAATCTTTATGGTCGATCACCGATTTATATGACAGTAGAAAATATAGAGAACTTAAATGAAGTGATATAGTCAGTGAAGATTCAGATAGGTGATCCTAACTTGCTTGGGGTTGACGCGTGGTTGTAATAATGTTGTTTTGAATTCTTGATATCAAACTATGGTCATATAAAAGCTGTGATCATTGACCTTCTCAAGATATTTCATTATAAAACCTTTATCCAAGAATGATCTAATAATATTTTCAAGATATAAAGAATATTGATCAACCATTAGATTTTATTCACTTCATCAGATTGTGTAAAATATAAATCTTGAAAAGTTTAAAAAGAGCACTGATCAGTTGAAGAAGAGGTTAGCTAACTGATCTTGATCAATTTTAAGTTTTCATTTAGAAAGAAAAGATGAAAAAAATTGCCAAAAAAAAAAAAAACATTGGTATAAAAGTACCTCAACGCTGGCCATTGGAAATTGAAGAATTAAAGTTGAAACTAAGAAAATGGGGAGGAAAAAATAATGAAATGGAGGGGGTCTTAAGAAGCAAAGGTGGCCAAAGTGTTTTTAATTGTGATTGGTGATGAAAAAGGATCAAATGAGAGAGCTATATATAGGGAAGTAAAATCGACTGTATTAATTAAAATAATAAAAAGAAAAGAATCTTGAAGGATATACAAATTGACATCTCATATCACTGACTTTAAAGGGTGTCCAAAAATTAAAATGTCTAGTTGTAAATGTATTTACTTTACTTTATGCTTACCAAAAAAATTAATATTAAAATAATTGTTCACTTTTACTTGGCACATTTTGATTTTTCACGCCCCTTAAGAAATAATAAATGAAGTGCATAATTTACCATGATACACATATTAATTGATGCATATTTTATTGGATTTGAGAAAATGAATTAAAATGAGTAATAAATAATGTGGTTATAACAGGGGAAAAAATTGTCTTCTCTGGATATACGTAAAACGACAAGTAAAAATGAAAATCTATTTTAAGTATACATGCCAAGTAAAAGTGAACGGAGGGAGTAATAACTATGTTTCAACCCAAGCAAGTTGACATCGGTTGTATAAATTCTCATTATTCATCTCATATATATCTCAAATATATTCTATATTATAAAGATTCATTATAAATTAATTAATTTCATGTTGATTGTCGACCTACCGTAATTCAGTTTGGAACACAATATAAATAAGTTCATATAATAATAATAATTACGACTCAACCTCAAATAAGTTGAGGTTAGCTTCATTATGAATTGACGGGTTTTATGCTGGTTGTCAGCCCACATCTCGGAACCCAACAAAAGTCATGAAATATGAACCCTCATCCAACTACGAGTCCCACCATACTAATTTTACCAAAATCTGACATCAACTCGACTCTCAAATCTTCAAATTAAATACACTGTGCATCAAATGCATAAAGGCTGCTGGGGCATTGGTCAACCCAAAAGACATAACAAGGAACTCGTAATGACTATAACGAGTCCCGAAAGCCGTTTTCAGGATATTTGGCTCCCAAATCTTTAACTGATGGTAACCTGAGCGCAAGATTATTTATTAATTCATTTATTATTTATTAATTCATTTATTAGTTTGTCTAAAGGCATTTGTTTGATTAGGAAATGGCAAAGTCACATGGTGGTGGAGGCCATTTCCTATAAACAGCTATGATATCTTTTTTCTTGAGTGGTTTCTTCTGTGTTTTGTGCAGTAGGGCACGTAGGTGACTAAGACTATCATGCTTTCATGTTCTAATAATTTTTTAAATATACTTTTCTTTTTCTGTTCCAATTTCTTTTTTAATTAATTTTTTCTTAATTCTAGATCTTTACAACAAAATCTCTTGTTTTAAGGGAATTAATCTAATTGCTAATTCATGCAAATACTCATACAAAATGACTCAGCCTTATAATAATTTTAATATATGTATTTATTGGATCCTGTAAACTATTGATACTACATTACTTTATCAGACAAATTACCACCAAGATTTTGTCAAAGTAGTGACAGAGTAAACACATCACTAATTACTAAATTAAACATTTATGAAAAAAAATGAAAAGCTTAAACTAATAGATTAGCAGTTAAATTGCAAATACTATTGCAAATAAGCTTTTAGTTTCTTACGTTAACACGACTATACGAGAATAAGAAATACTCAACTCGATAATATTTACGCCCTCTATTTCATTTTATGTCATATTATTTTTTTTATTAGTCCGTTCGAAAAATATATTTTCCTATATAAAAATAAATTTAACTTTATATTTTTTATTTACCTTTAATTAGAAGGTTCTATCGTCACACAAATATTATAACATGTTCAAAACACAAGTTTCAAAGTACTTTTTTTTTCTTAAACATTGTAACGAGTCCAACTATGTCACATAACTTGAAACTATCAATATTAAGTAACTGAAACGAGGAGTAGACCTAGAGTATTAGATACGGGTTCGAACGAACCTAGTAATATTTATTAAATATATATAAATATTTGAATGCAAACTCAGTAAGACGAGTTGTGAGTTCGATGACAAGTTCAGAACTCATAAATTTCAAATATTGACTCGTGACACTGTCTGTGGCAGATCTACATGGTTATTTGTGGGTGCTCAAATACCCATTACCTTTGACAAGACTTAGTAAATCTGCGTATCAATTATAAAAATATTTAGATAAATATTGAGTGAGCACTCATAGCTAAACTCGTTTTTTCTCATTCGAAGTTTTTATCGATGAGCATTCACGACTTTAAAATCCGGGATCCGCCATCGGACACTGTATTCAAATTATGTTTTTTTCTGTCGGCATGGCACAGTTTTTATTAACAGTAAAATATATGGTGAATCATAGTATAAGATTTTCACCAGATATTTCCCTTAGCTAATAGTATGGAGTAAAATGTTTTTTACGAGAATGGTCAAAATGAGAATGTTTAGGAATTTGAAAAAATAGCCAACTTGATTTTCTTTCTGATTTGTGGACAAATGGATATGAATAATGAACGTAAAGGCCAAAATAATAGTGAAGGGCCGGTGCCGAATTGGACCCCACTATCATAAAATACGATCATAAAATGTCCAAATGGGTCCCATACCACAGCAGAAATATGACGTGGCACATTCTTTTTCAATCCAATTCATCCCACATACTTTTGGGCTTTCTCTAAATGGGCCCTACTTTAATATGTTTATTACGGCCTTGTGGGCCCATACCTATGCCTTGAGATGCTTTCCAGGTACTACACCTCGTGCTTTCTGGGTCCCACTTGCATTCCCCTCTCTGATTTTGCCACGCTGGATTTGTGTCATTCGCCACTCTATTTCTGCTCGGGCCTACTTTTCACTAAGTTCTCGTTATGCGTGAAGTTCGGAGAAAGGCTGAACCACAAGGGCCTATTATTCGCAGTTTTACCTTGTATTTTTGCAAGAGGTTGTTCCCACGGCTCGAACTCATAACCTCCTAATCACATGACAACAACTTTACTAGTTACAACAAGGCTCTCCTTATCGAAAATGTTGTTGCACTATAGTCAGATTTTTAAAAAATGTACTACTTTTGGAGAATCCGATATACACCCGACAACAGTGGCGAAGCCAGGAATTTCATTTAGGGTGCTTAAATTTAAAAGAAGTATAATAAATCTCGAATAAAGAGTGTTCAATATATGTTATATACGACTAAAATCTAATATTTTACCTATATATACCGTGTAATTTTTCGATGAAAATAGGAGCTAAGTAGCTTCGCCCCTGCCCGATAATATTTTCAAGAAATCCGAGGAACATAGATCATAACTTTAGCAAAGATTGTGATTAAGTAATAAGCACTTGCTCATACAAATGGAAGAAATATTTGTAAGAGAACTCACAAATTTTAAGAGGAAATTAGTATAGTAAGCAAAGAAGTTGTAACATTCCTCACAAATTTCTCCCTTGGGCTACGTCACCATCGAGTCTGAAAGTGCGTCTCTTGTAAACTTGTATTATGCTTATAAGTAAATTCGTCTAAGATGTCATATGCAACTCTTCTTTGATCACTCCTCATCGACCCGCCTTTCGTCATGGGCGTCACACTAATCCAATTAGTAAGTGTTCACTAAAAGTGAAATTCTTAAAAGTTTAAACTTTATTTTGTTAGTATAAATTGTACAACAATGCTGTTACCTGAATGATGTTAGACATGCTGTCATATTTCTGAATAGAAAAAGTAGGCTGTACTATTTGATATTGTCCTTAATATGATTGATGTCGAAATCAGTGCGAAGAGAATACATATAGGTAAATGTTTTAAATTTTATTTTATAATGTCTTAAGCTA